GGATGGAAGGAGACTCTAGCAGTGGTGTTCCAACAAGAGCCCCATTAAACATGTATTCTGCACCAGAGGTCTGTCGAGAACCCCAGGGCACCTAGCCCCCTACCTCTGCCGCTGCCTCTTTTTTTTTTGAAACAGGCTCACTGCCACCCAGGCTGGACTGCAGTGGCACAGTCATGGCTCACTGCAACTTTGAACTCCTGGGTTCAAGATGACCCTTCTGCCTCAACATTCCAAGTAACTGGAACTACAGGTGCGTGCCACCACACCTGGCTAATTTTTTAAATTTTTTATAGAGATGAGGGCTTACTATGTTACCCAGGCTGGTCTTGAACTCCTGGCATCAAGTCTTGAACTCCTGCATCAACTTCCCAAAGTGCTGGGATTACAGGTGTGAGCACCTGACCCATAGCCCCCTTTTAAAGCAAATATTTTATAAATCCCTCTTTGCTATCCTGACCTGGAATTCATAGAGAATATAACCTAATGGCTCCACACACAATTTTGTTTGTAAGAAAGATGTCAGACCTTCTATTCTTTGTCGAAAGACTGAAGGAAGGAAGGGGAAGGGAAGGAGAGAGAGAGCAAGAAAGAGAGAGAGAGAGAGAGAGGAAAGGAGAGGGGGGAGAGAGAGAGAGAAAGAAAGAAAGAAAGAAAGAAAGAAAGAAAGAAAGAAAGAAAGAAAGAAAGAAAGAAAGAAAGAAAGAGAAAGAAAGAAAGAAAGAAAGAAAGAAAGAAAGAGAAAGAAAGGAAGGAAGGAAGGAAGGAAGGAAGGAAGAAAAGAAAGAGAGAAAGAAAAGAAAGAAAGACAAGAAAGAAAGAAAGAAAAGAAAGAAAGACAAGAAAGAAAGAAAGAAAGAAAAAGAAAAAACAAAAAACAAAAAAGCTTGAAGTGTAAACATTTTAGGAGTAATTCTAGATATAGGAGGTGGGGGTGAGAGGTGCCGAGACAAAAGAGAGAAGCACCAGCAAGACATGTTTCCAATTTTCTTCTCTCCATCATGGAACACAAACAACCAACAACACCCAAGTTGCTCTTATGCCCTCTTCCCTTAGAAAAAGGGGGAACAAGCCGGACTTGGTGGCTCAGTCTATAATCCCAGCACTTTGGGAGGCTGAGGTGAGTGGATTGCCTGAGCCGGTGGGTTCGAGACCCGCCTGGGCAACTTGGCGAGACCTCATCTCTACAATAAGTCAAAAACTAGCCGGGCGTGGTAGCATGTGCCTGTAGTTCCAGCTACTTGGAGGGCTGAGCGGAAGGATCACCGGAGCCCAGCAGGTCGAGGCTGCGGTGGCCGGGATCGGCCACTGCACTCCAGTCTGGGTGACAGAGTGAGACTCCAACTCAAAAAAAAAAAAAAAAGAAAGAAAGAAAAAGGGGGAACAGAAGATTTAAGAATTTTGAAAAGTTTTTTTTGTACACACCCAATTTTAAAATAATTCTCTAGTTGTGATATAAAGGAGATGTTTTAAAGTAATAATAATGAAATGTGCCATATTAAATGTGTATGGCTCACATCTGTAGTCCCACCTTCTTTAGAAGCTGAGGTGGAAGGATTGCTTGAGCTCAGGAGTTCAAGTCCAGCCTGGACAACAGAACAAGATCCCATCTCTTAAAAAATGTTAAATTAAAATTTAAGGTCAATTCCCTCAAGCCCCCTCCTGCTCTGAGAGTTTTTCTGTCCTTTCAATAATCCTGCTTTCTCAAAAAAATAATAATAATAATAAAATATATATGCAAATGCTTGGGCATAGCTACACAAATTCTCAAAATTCCCCTGCAGAGTCCCCCCGGCCTTCACACTGACACCTCTCCCCACCTCACTGAAAAGCTCATTGGTCTTGCACATCGGGTCTGTTTAGGGCACAACACTCCTAGGAGTCAGCCCCCCACCCCACAATCACTCTCAGCCTATGTTCCCAGCGGCTCATCTGGGCTCCTGCCCAAAAGGAGACTGAAGAGCTGTTGAAACACCAGCCCAAGAAGGTAAAGGGTTTTTTTTTTCATTTTTTCATTTTCTTTTTTTTGAGTAGGAGTCTCACTCTGTTGCCTAGGCTGGAGTGCAGTGGCATGCTCAGGGCACCTGCAGCGTCGATCTACTGGGCTCAAGTGATCCTTCCGCCTCAGCCTTCCAAGTAGCTTCCACAGACGTGGGGCTTTCTTTATTTATTATAGAGACGAATTCTCACCAAATTGTCCAGGCTGGTCTCGAACCCCTGGACTCAGGCAATCCTCTTGCCTCTGCCTCCCAAAGTGCTGGGATTACAGACGTGAGCCACCATGCCCGGCAAAGGTGAGGTTATTAATGAATGTTCCCTGTGGACTTTGGAGCCCTTAAATGATGGCCCAGCATATGGCGGTTGGTGGCTCAGGACCTTTGATCACCCAGCATCTCCGGAGGCTGTGTCTTAGGGAGAGGGCAAGAGAAAGATGGATGGGAGGAGAGAGAGACTCATGGAGGCTGTTTGGCGTCCCCTTCTCAACTCTCCCAGACACTGTGCTTGATACCACACACAGAGACCCCGCACTCCATGGGCAACCAGGGCTGGTTGAACCCCTTTGCCCTCGAGTGTGACACTCAGCAGATGTGCCTGTCCTGATAGGTTGACTAGAATAAATTTCACCCTCCTGACCACCTCAGAGATACATGTTGTTGCCCCATTTTACAGATGAGGAAACTTCAGTTGAGTGTGTTGCCTCAATCAATCCAGGCTCACCCAGCTAGGGAGCTGCAGAGGCAAGGGTTGAACTGGACTGGTTCACACCACATTCCTCTGGGTTTGGGGAACATGGAGAAAGCCTTCTGGTCCCTGGAGAATGTTGGAGTATTTTGAAATGACAGTGGCATTGCTCTCCCCTACTCGGCGATGGATAGGCTCAAGGGGCTGCTTTGCCTATTGTGATTATTCCCAGTTACCCTTCACAGGCATGGCTCTCAGGGGCTTTCTCAGCCTGAGGCCAGAAGAGGGCAAGGGAGGCTCAGAGGCATCTGCCAGGACACAGGTCAAGCGGAGAAACCGAGGTCCAGGGTAGGAGGCAGGTATAGACCCCGACCTCTTTTTCCTTCCCCAGTGACTGCTTCTTTCCAGTTCTGTGTTTTTAGGTTTGAAATGGTTTGTTGCCTCAATACACTCCCCCAGCCCATGCCAGCTTGACATAGACATAGGTTTGTTTTTTTTTTTTTTTCTTTTTTTGCTTTTGAGTTGGAATCTCACTCCGTTACCCAAGCTGGAGTGCAGTGGTATACTCACAGCCACCACAGCCTCCACCTGCTGGGCTCAGGCGATCCTTCCACCTCAGCCTTCCAAGTAGCTGGAACTACAGGCACACACTACCATGCCTGGCTAATTTTTTTTTTTTTTTTTTTGAGTTGGAGTCTCACTCCGTCACCCAGCCTGGAGTGCAGTGGCTGCTCCCAGCCACCGCAGCCTCAACCTGCTGGGCTCCAGCGATCCTTCTGCCTCAGCCTTCCGAGTAGCCGGAATTACAGGCATGCGCTGCCACACCCGGCTGATTTTTTGATTTATTGTAGAGATGAGGTCTCGCTGCCCAGGTGGGTCTCGAACCCGCAGGCTCAGGCAATCCACTCACCTCAGCCTCCCAAAGGCACGGGATTACAGGCTGAGCCACCGACCCCAGCTTAATTTTTTGATTTATTGTAGAGACGAGGTCTCGCCAAGTTGCCCGAGCTAGTCTCGAACCTGCAGGCTCAGGCAATCCACTCACCTCGGCCTCCCAAAGTGCTGGGATTACAGGCTGAGCCACCGAGCCTGGGCACGGTGATATCTTTTGATACCTTGTCTCTCTCACCAGAACAGAACGACTGTGGAGACACAAGTGACTCCATCTTGGATGCTGATTCGCCATGTTGACTTCTGATTTGCCCCCCTCCTGTGAATGTCTTCTGATTTCTACTTTATTTACCACCCCTAAGAACATGTCAACCTTGATGATATCACACAAACTACAGGCTCTGTCGCATATGGCATTCCTGTCTGCTTTGGAGTGCCGCCTTTGCCTGGCACCAAGCATACATATTCTGGTCCTGGGGAGTCACTGTTTCGAGACCCACCTGTCTTATGGCTGCCCAAAAACACACATCTGTCTAAAAATCCCCTCAATAAATCACTCAAAACCAACAGGCTGCATTGCTCTGTCTCCTTCTTTGATTTCTTGACTTCTTTGGCATTTGGGGGGTCACATTGCATATGTGACCCTTTCACAGAACAATGGCTGACTGGGTCCCTTTGCCAACTCTGGAGGTGCGGTGGGGAGAAAGTGAGTAAAAGTCATTGCATTGGGAGCCAAGGAATCCTTGCTTGGGCCTTGACTTATCTTCTCATGCATTCTCCCAACCAACCTTACGAGGGAGGCGAGGGAGGTGCTGCTGTGAGTGGCTTCCTGTTTCTCAGGAGGAGCTTTGGGTGGGGGCAGTTAAGTAACCCCTCTATGTGCTCCCTCCAGAGTTCTCTAGTCCTACTCTTAGAAGCCAGTTTCACTCACAGTTACTCATCAACCAGCCCAGGAGAAAATCCATTTAATCTCTCACAATACAAAACAAAGCCTTTCATCTCTAATATCCACAGGAACAAAATAGCCCCCACCCTCATCCCCTTCGTCCTCGGCCCTCTCCTTCTTCCCACCCCATGCTCAGGGAAACCAAGAGCTGCCAGAAAGGAGACAAGGACGAAGATCTCTCCTACTGCAGAAAGTGCCAGGAGGAGCCCCTAAACCTTCCCTGACTGTCTGCAGCACCACCCTACCCTAGGCCAGCCTGGCACATGCCCTGGGCAGGAGCTGACAGGGGCTGAGGGCGTGGCTGTGAGACAGCTCCCTCTCTTTACACAAGGAAGTGCCTGGCCTTCCACAGTACCAGGCAGAACCTCAGGACTCAAAGTGCAAGTTACGATGACGAGGCATCTTTTCTTTATGCACGAGGAGAGCGCGCCTGGCAGGCTTGGCTGGCCTCCACTCTGGCGCTCACCTCTCAGGAGAGCCAGGCCCCTCCAGCCGCAGGCCCTCTGGGTGACTCAGAGACCCAATCCCTTCCGGTCCTGGGATTGGCCAAGGTCAGGCAGGGTCCTGTCTGCAGTGGCGACTGGAAAAAAGCCTTCTCTCTCAGAAGCACAGCGCTGGGTGGAAGGAAAGTGCACACAATTTTTGTGGTAGTATAAAAGCAGAAGCATCACAAATGTCCAGTCAAAGGGGACAGCGGCTGGCCTTCCTCTGCACCAGCAGTAATCCTGGGTAGGAAAGAATGTGGAGGCTTAAGATGCACAACAGAGTGAACAAATGAGACCTGCAGAGAGTCACGACTTTATTTAAAATACTGATGTTTCCTGGTCAGCAGGGTAAAGGGGGAAAAAATGATGTACAAGAATAAAAGGGAAAAAAATGAGACTTTAAGGAAATAAGCAAAACGTTGTCGGTGGTGATCTCTGGAAGGCACGGCATTACACAGATTACAGTTTTCTTTGTGTGTGTATCTGCCTGGGTTTAACCAGAAAAACAGAACCAGTAGGAAATTTGAAGAGTTGGGTGTGGTGGCTACTCAGGAGACTGAGGCAGGAAGCTTGTTTGAGTCCAGGTATTGGAGACTGTAATGCACTATGAACATGTTTGTGAATAGCTACTTTAGCCTGGGCAACATAGTGAGACCCCCACCTCGTGCACACTCTCTTTTTTTTTGAAACTGGATCTCATTCTGTCACCCAGACTGGAGTACAGTGGCACATTCATGCCTCATGGCAGCCTCAACCTCCCAGATTCAAGTGATTCTCCCATATCAGCCTCCTGAGTAGCTGGGACTACAGGTACACACCACCGTGCCCAGCTGTTTTTTAAATTTTTTATAGAGACATGATCTCACTATATTGCCTAGGCTGATCTCAAACTCCTGGGCTTAAGCAATTCTCCTGTCTTAACTTCCCAAAGTGCTGGAATTATAGGTGTGAGCCACCATGCCCAATCTGTTTTTTTATTTTTTAATAATGACCATTCTGACTGGTGTAAGGTGATATCTCATTGTGATTTTAATTTGCATTTCCCTGATGATTAGTGATGTTGAGCATTTTTTCTTTTTTTTTTACCATTTGTATATTTTCTTTTGAGCAATGTCTTTTCATGTCATTTATCCACTTTTTATTTGAATTTCTTTTTTCTTTTTCTTTTTGCTAATCTGAGTTCTTTGCAGATTCTGGGATTAATTCTTTATTAGATGTAAAATTTGTGAATATGTTCTGCCATTCTGTAGACTGCCTATTTGCTCTGTTGATTATTTCTTTTACTGTGCAGAAGCTTTTTAGTTTAATTAAATCCCACTTGTTTATTTTTGTTTTTGTTGCATTTGCTTTTGGGGTCTTAGTCATAAATTCTTTGCCTAAGCCAATGTCCAGTAGAGTTTTTATTAGGTTTTCTTCTAGGATTTTTATCATTTCAAATCAGACATTTAAGTCTTTAATCCATCTTGAGTTAGGTTTTGTGTATGGTGAGAGATAGGAATCAAGTTTCATTTTTCTGCATGTAGTTATCCAATTTTCCCAGTACCATTTGTTGAATAGGGTATCCTTTCCCCAGTGTATTGTTTTCATCTGCTTTGTCAAAGATCACTGGTTAAAGGTATTAAGGTTTATTTCTAGATTCTCTCTTCTGTTCCATTGGTCCACATATCAGTACCATGCTGTTTTGGTTACTATAGCCCTGTAGAATAATTTGAAGACAGGTAATGTGATGCCTCCAGCTTTGTTCTTTTTGTTTAGGAATGCTTTGGCTATTCTGGCTCTTTTCTGATTCCACTAAAACTTTTGTTTTTAGTTTTTTTTAATGTGCTTTATTACTATTATTATTATTATTATTTTTGTGAGACAGAGTCTCATTCTGTCACCCAGGCCAGAATGCAGTGGGCATGATCATAGCTCACTGCAGCCTCGACCTTCTAGGCTTAAGTAATCCTTCTGCCTCAGCCTCCTGAGTAGCTGGGACTACAAGTGCAAGTCACCACACCCAGAATATTTTTTTATTTTATTGCATTTATTTATTTATTTTGGGTCGGAGTCTCACTTTGCCACCCAAGCTGGAAGCCTCAACCTGCTGGACTCAGGTGATCTTTCCACCTCAGCCAAGTAACTGGAACTACAGGCACGTGCCATAATGCCTGGCTAATTTTTTTATTTATTGTAGAAACACGGTCTCGCCAAGTTGCCCAGGCTGGTTTCAAGCCCCTGGGCTCAGGAATCCTCTCACCTCTGCCTCCCAAAGTGCTGGGATTACAGGTGTGAGCCACTGTGCCCGGCAATTTTTTTTTTTATAGCTACATAATAGTTGTACATATTTATGAGATACATGTGATATTTTGATGCATGTATACAAAGTCTAATGATCAAATCAGGGCAATTGGGATATCCATCACTTTAAGCATTTATCATCTCTTTGTGTTAAAAATATAATTCCACTCTCCTGGTTATTTTGAAATATATAATAAGTTATTGTTAACTATAGTTATATAGTTGTCATATATTCTTTTTTTCGTTTCTCTCTTGAATTTCTGTTCTGCTGAAAGGATTTCATTCTTTTATAAGGCTGAATTATATTCTATTGAGTGTATATAGCAGTATATAGCACATTTTTTCTTTCTTTTCTTTTCTTTTCTTTCTTTCTTTTTTTTTTTTTTTTTTTCAGTCAGAGTCTCACTCTGTCGCCCAGGTTGGAGTGCAGTGGCACGCTCACAGCCACCACAGCCTCGACCTGCTGGGCTCAGATGATCCTTCCATGTCAGCCTTCCAAGTAGCTGGAACTATAGACATGCACCACCACACCCGGCTAATTTTTTCTGATTTATTGTAGAGATGGGGTCTCGCCAAGTTGCCCAGACTGGTTTTGAGCCCCTGAACCCAAGCAACCCTCTCACCTCAGCCTCCCAAAATGCTGGGATTACAGGCTTGAGCCACCGTACCTGGTCCCAGCACATTTTCTTTGATCCATTCATCTGCTGATGGACACTTAGGCTGATTCCATATCTTGGTCTTTGTCCCTAGTTCCTGTCACAGAGCTAAAATCCCTTGAATTTACTGAGCATCGGAAGCATCTTTTGTTACTCATAAAAAATCCTTTCGGTAACACCTGAGTTTATGCTAATACAGGGACTTAGGGTGGCCCCCTAGGTAGCCTCAGGATGGAGACCAAGTGGTTAGAGGATTAGAGGTGTGGCACATTCAGCTCCTTTCCCACGTACGTCACCCAATTCATCTCTTCATCTGGCTGTTCATCTGTGTTCTTTACAATATAATAAATATATAGCAGATATACATAAAAGTGTTTCCCTGAGTTTTGTGAGCCATTCTAGCAAATTAACTAAAGCTGGGGAAAGGATCTCAGGAAACCCAATTTATAGTCAGTTGGTCAGAAGTTCCAGAGGCTCAGACTTGTGACTGGCATCTGAAGTAGGCAACAATCTTGGGGGACTGAGCCTTCAATCTGTGGGATCAGATGCTATCTCCAGGTCAGTAGTGTCAGAATCGAGTTGGATTATGGGACACCAAGGGAGTGTCCACTGCAAGGTGTTTGATGGGGAGAAATCCCCACACATTTTGGTGCTCAGGGGTCACAGAAGCATTCTGTGTTGTATTGAGTGTATGAGAATAGGAAAAACACCTTGCTTTGGGTTTGTTTTGGGGGTTTTTTGGTTGTTTTGGGTTTGTTTTTTTTTTCTCTATCCCTCGATACCAAAAACCACTGAATTGTACACTTAAAGGGCAAATTATAGCATGGGTTCATTTGATATCAATAAAGCTATGATTTAAACAAAAATAAGGCAATAAATGAAAAAGGAAAGAGAGGAGAAAACCATGTGTACTTGGGCGAGCCAGCTCCCAGCAGTCAAGAAGCTGGTAGGTTTTTCTCCTGAATCCAGGTTCTGCTTCCCCACCTTTGTCTCCCTCTCATGGTGTTCTTGCCTAGAGCCTAGGGTCCTGGAGTTTGCAGATGTCCTGGAGAAAGTGATCTACAAAACTCATTTCAGAATTATCTCCTCTCCTCTCGTTGCACTTCCCTTTGCTGCTGCCCATGAGGGGCCAATACCCTCCCACCCCCTACACACAATTGTCCCAAAAAGGTTATTGGCCCATGACCTGAAAATGTTAGCAGTCTTCTGGACCCAGAAGGATTTGCTTTTCGCAAACAGAAAGTGGCCCCATGGGGCTATGTCCTGGCACATAGGGTCTGGAACAAAGGGAAAACTCAGCCTTTGTGTGTTGCAAAAATAAGGACATCTTACAGATATGAGGAAACTGAGTCCTGGAGAAAGGGATCCACTCGAGGCCATTCAGGTTTTGGGTTTCCTCCCTCACCTCTCTCTCTGCCAAGTCCACAATGGGATCTCGCCAGTTAGAGGCAAACGTGGCTGAGTGGCAGAACCAGACTTTCTGGACAGCTCTTTGCCAAATATATATCCAGAGCACTGGAAGGGTTGCTGCCCTCTGATTTCAGTAGTTTCCTGTTTAGAACTCTAGTTCAGGGGACAACCTGCCAGGACGACAAGGATTTGGGTACTGAAATGTTAATTGCAGGGTAATATATAATGGTGAAAAACTGGAAATAGTCCAAATACCCAGCACTGAGGAATGATTAATAAGTGAGGACATAGCCAGGTGCAGCTCACACCTGCAATCTCAACACTTTGGGAAGTGGACGGGAGAGGATTGCCTAAGTCCAGGGGTTCGAGACCAGTCTGGGCAACTTGATGAGACCTCATCTCTACAAAAAATCAAAAAAACTAGCCAAGTGCAGTGGCACATACCTGTAGTTCCAGCTACTTGGAAGGCTGAGGTGGAAGGATTGCCTGAGTCCAGCAGGTTGAAGCTGTGATAGTCTTGAGTGTGCCACTGCACTCCAGTCTGATCAACAGAATGAGACTCCTATTCAAATAATAATAATAATAACAACAAAGTGAGAACATAGTCCTATGATGAGACAATGAGACAGTATACAACTAGTAAAAATGATGTCTTGGAGCTGGGTGCAGTGGCTCA